GACGTTAATAAAAGTAACAAATAACCAAGTGACATTCTGCATCCTTCCCGGTTACTTTTTGTTGAAACAAAAAGGGTAATCTATCTCGTCGTGGTGGTGTCCCGTTTTATCTTTCGGAGATTTTTCCGTCTTTCAAGCTCCGGTATCGCCCAACTGCCTGTAACATGACATTTCTAGTCTGTCCGTGACGGCACTTTTTTCATGGCGGCAGAATTCGTTGGGTATGGTGAATACCCGGCAATGAAACGTAGAATGATATCATCGGCATGGGTGTATTTTACGCCTTTCTATTTGACGATTGGCATTTGCTTCGACTGTGAGCCACAGTCGCTTTCAGTGAACTATTGCAGTTCCTGCCGCAGGTTCCGCTTCTCGTCCGCTGGAATCGGATACGGAAAGAGAATGTGGTCTCCCTCCCTCCACAAAAGTCCCTCCCTCGGCACAGCAAGTGCAGCTAGCTCCTTCGCTCGCGTCCGTACCGAGCATCTCCCTCCACTCATCATGCTGCACAACAAACAACAGATACCCAAGGCGGTGCCTCTTCGGCTGGTGATTGTTTTTTGTTTTGCGTGCTCTTGGATGGTCATACCCGTTGGCACGCTATCAGCGTCGCCTACATACAACCCAACGGGAACAACGACTACGACTGCTGTTACAGCTACCACTGTTACCACTGTGTCAAACATAGCTCGTCCGTCAAATCAATCCACAGGTGTTTCAAAAAGTAGACCGATTACGAATGTATCGGTGACCAATGGCTCCACTGTCGATATGTCATGCTCGGTAGCAACGGATACTCCGACAGTGATAGTTTGGCTCCAGGGTGATAGTTTCAAAGTTCTTTTTTTTGGTTCCAACCGAGTCACAAACGACAAAAGAATGTCGGTTAGAATTCTCGTTGAAGAAGGCGCCATCAAATCGACGTTGCGGATTGAACCTGTGAAACCCGAAGACCAAGGGAAATTTATTTGCAGAGTGCCCCGAAAAGATCATATAGATACTGAAGTTATTTTACTTTCAGTAAAAGTGGCTCCGGGATTGTCTTCAACACAAGCCGCGACTCTACTTCCAATACAGTCGCCAGCACAGATAGGCAACGACACAGTGTTAACAGTGACCTCAAGATAGTGAAATCCGCGTGTTGAAAGCTACTCGAACATTTTACAACAACCAACATCTTTGCATGTAATTTGACTTCCAAGTGATAAAGAGTTATTAGCACAGAACATTATATCTTATAATAGAGTCTACAATTTAATTTCATCGCCCGCTACGTTCTGTTTCAGTTAGAACGGAAATTTATGGAGGTGATGCGAAAGAACGTCCTATCTAAAGTAGTGAGTTGGTGCATACAATGCGCTCGACGAATAAGGTTTAAGCAAAAGTAAGTTTATTCTATAAAAGTACAACTCTCGATAAGAGTGAGTCTCGGAAGATTCGGATGAAGATAATTACCATTATTACGTTTTTTGTCACATCGTAGAATCATTAAAGGTGGATCAAGATGTGTTTCGATTGTAATAAGATACTTTCAATAAAAAAGATATATTTTTCAATGTATATGTGTATGGGTCAATTATTTTAAGTAGTGCCAGAGTGTAACCAAAACGAAGATGGTCAATGTTCTTCTGATGTATCAAGTCTAACATTAGACTTACCCAACGTAATTTATATATGTACATAACCTTATCTTATTTTTTCTAAAATTGTTCTTAAGGCAATGGTGACACATCAACATGTGCATAAGTTGCAGTCCTGTATTCCTAATATTCCAAATATGTTGTATCTTGAACGCTTGTTGTTGTTGCCGCATCAACTCATTGCCTTATATATATATATATATATATATACTATACCATTGCCTTATATTATAAGTAGAATGTGAAACGTGCTTAAGTTTGGCACGGACATTAGCTAGAGACGTAAAAAATTGAAACGGGTTGTTCTCATTGCTGTTGTCGATCCTAGGCGACCACATTTATTTACTTGTAGTTACTTCTACTGTTCATTGCAGGTGGCTTCTTTCTAATAATTAATTTTTGAGGCATTCTTCATTGAAATGTATTAATTTAGTTTCTCGAAAGAAAATTCCAGAAAATTTCTTCATGCGCATAAAGGGATATCCTGTTGCGGCGGCTGTTGCATTTCTGTTATTCTTTAGCAGTTATAAGGAACATAATATAGCTACGGCGGATACGGCGCTTTTTAATTTAAGCGTCAGCGCTTTCTGTCTCACAGAGTTCAATTGTAAATGCCTATAATAAGTTATTTTTTTCAACACGATAGCCACAATACACGCTTTATAAGCGAGGAACAATTACCTTTAATGACATTTCTAAAATTATTTTTACTATTGGATGTATAGTATAAGATTCGACCTGATTTAGCACATTCTCACAAGGACACGTGCGGCCCTGTGCAGAGGAAGATTTAATTTCTCAAGAAAAATCCGTTGCGTCACCAGAATTGGCTAACCCGAAGGTTCGATTCATTCCGCTCTGCATAAATGACAGATAGAAACTCCATCAAGAGATCTCCTTTGAGTTTTCTGAACCTCTAGTTGGAAGGATCCTTTTCGGTGGCGTAGTGTCTGTCAACTGCAAATACCCAATATCATTGAAAACGTAAATTGACATCAAACTAACGGTCAGCACTTCAAGCACCTGGCGTGATTCCACTAGATAGTCTAGCTAAAAAATTACTAAGCAAATTCCGCCAAAATAATGAATCTGTCGCAAGAAATTGTGCTATATGAACCTATGCTAGCTACAAATGAAGCCCGTTCCAATGATGTGCTAATCCAGCTAACATGTGAGCAATACCAACTAAAAGTTATCTCAGTGTCCCTAAATAATAATAAGTTTTTTGAGAGGCTTCATTTTAAAGCTATAATTCGATGAATATCTCACGGTGAATACGTGTTGTGTTGATTACCTCCATATTTCTTGGCATCGGGTGAGTAGAATTTCGTTTTGTATCCCGGCACTCTTTACTGAAATCAGGGACTGTAATGACAGAGATTAAGAAGTCTGGTCTGTTCTCCCTTAGTTACGCTGCAAACCTTGCGATGCTTGCAGCTAGTTTACCCTGAATTAATACTGAATTTCATACATTCGTCGTAGCCTGAGTAAAAAATTATATAGATGGGCTGCATGTGTTTACTAAGAGACATTCCCGTCTTCTGAGAAGAATGATTTGAGTTAAAAATCGAAAAAATACAGCCACCGTTGCGTAGAATATATGTACGCCTATTTAGCTTCCGACTAGTATGTCAATCCTTATGGCCTGGTTATGAAGCAAGTTAGGCGCATCCTTCATAGTATAGTGTCGAGGACAGTACAAGCAACTCGCGTGTGCCGCTCAGTCGATTGCGAAAAACCATTTAAAACAAAAACATAAAGAGGAGGCTTTTACTGAATAACTCTCATAATTGGAGAAACTACTCTAATTTAGACACGCAGAATTAAAAGCACCTGCTTTTACTAAGAAGGTCACACTTTATAGTTCCATTAGGCGGGTAGACATGCTTGCATGCTGACCATAAATGACAGACACAGGATGAACGTTTACCTGACTATATTAAGGGGTGTTTACCCTAAGGAAAAAACTATAAATATAATAAATAGAAAAACGTAATAAAACAAACTTTGGGCAAGCACAAAGTTCGCATATACTTGTAATGTAACCGTCGTATTTGGCTGGTCCATAAGTTCCCACGTATTTTTGTCTCGCTTCCCTTTACTAATTTCATGTTCCTCAATAGCCCGAAGTATGGTGTTGTAGAAACTCACGTCATTGTTTTGTCCGGCTTAGAACATTCAACTCGAGTTTTAGCTCTATCGTTTTTAAACGATTAGGAAGTATGTTAATCCATCAAACATAATTATGATAATAAATAGTGAGAGTACAAAATAATAAATCAAAAGGGCTTAAGAAGATTACAAAAATTATAACAAGTCTACTAAAAACCCATAAAAGTTAACAAATACTAGTAAATTCTAGTAAACAAAGAAGTTATATGTGAACACTTCTTGTCCACATGCTCTATTGTATCCCGAACACAACTTTGCAGCTATAACTTGAAATTTCAAAACAAACTCAGTTTCAACGAATGGCCAAGACAAGTTTACTGTGATTGCGTGCAAACGAACACGTTCCAGGCGTAACCCAAATTAAACAAACGTTTAATACGAATAGATATGAGCTTCCATATTTCATTTCAAAAATATATAAAGAAGATAATATATTCATGAAAAGCTTATCTAGAGGACGTCAAGCTTTGGTGGAGATATTGAAACGCTAGTGGCGTAGTACAAAAAATTTGGTGTCTTCTAAGAACCCTTTTGTGATTTTTTCTGTTTTAAATTGCTTTAAATTCGATATATTCATATATGGAACAATCATGAGGCACTCTTATAGTAACGGTAGCCCGCACGACGTATAAAGTACAACCTTAAAGTTTAAAACCGTATTGATGGTTAGCAGAATCTTTCGCATCTTTTGGGTAATCTGCTCGCCGATTCACCGTTCGTTTAATGTCCACGTTATACCTCCAGCATGCCATATTATTACCGTGCTTCCGAGCCAAGGAGAATTGGTCGCGGCTAAGAGAGTCTTCTTTTAAAATTTTCTATATTTCGGTTTTTCACCGTAAGTTCGAGTTCGTTGGCATATTTCTTAAAGATCTTTAAGACCTGCTGGAGATGATGTCGAGTCGAAAAATGAGATTACCAGCATACGGGAGAGGATCCACACACTGGCGTCATTTGTTGGTCTCGCTCAATATGTCGCTAGCTAATAGGTACTGAAAACAGTAGTGGATTTGAATTTGGACATCTTGGGCCATCTCTTTAGAGTTGAGTTCAACAACTCTATTGCGCAGAATGACCTTGTTTATCTGAGGATTGTCGTTAAAAAGCTTCTTAATATTTAGGGACACCACAGCCCGGCATTAAAAAGGCAAAGTATTGCTAAAAGCCATGACAAATGCAGATTGAAAAGCAATGAATACTGAATACAAGTACTGACATAGACTGCCAAGAGTGCGCTGAATACGTTCCAGGAAAGCTAAGTCGGTAGCAACCATCACCTTTTGTATTTCTAAGTTTCGAGTAACAGCATGGCGTAGTTCAAGAATGTGCTCATCTCATGCGGCAGTGTAAAACGTACGATCGCAGGGAACAGTGCTTTAACCTCTGAAGCGTTGGAGGATAAAGCTCGTTTTAACCGGCATGCTACTTTGCACTGCGTCGCGTCCAGTGGTCAGGCTGCAAATGTTTTCCTTTAAGCAATCGTTTTTGCTGATACTTAAGATTGCTTTTCCTACATGAGCTAGCCTTGCTAAAGAGCTTTTTCGAATATCATCTGGATAAAACGCAATGCAGGGCATTTATATGCTATGCTTTGGCAACCAGTCATCCACCTTCTATGGTTTTGCAGGTTTTGTTGAAAAATAGCCATCCATCGGCGACGTATCGCTAACGTTGAAAGAACAAGCTTCGCCTAAACGTGAAAATATGTTGTTTTCCATCAATACTGTTGAGGATTGAAAAGAGTCTCGTTGGAAAAAGGAAGCTGGGAGCCGGTAAGAAATTACGAAAGCTGTGACTCGACGAAGTTGGGAACGTTAGCTGATTCTAGCTGTACTTCCATGGAAATAATTCATTTAAATTCACCACCTCCGTCTAGCGAGGTCTATCCTTCTGGAAATTCAACTCTACTCACAAACAGGTTTGTAGCAAGAAAATCGATGACCAAGTTGCTTACGTGGTTTTCAAAGTTTAGCACTCGTGCAACGTTCATAATCTTGTAGTCGATGTTATGAGGGGTTCAGGGTACAGTTTCTGTTCGGCTGTCTGGCTAGACGAGTCGTGCATTAAAGTTACGAGCTACTAAGGTATGAGTTTATTGGTCTACCAAGCAGAAACATCCAACAATCTTGTCGATCATCAACAATGTATCCTCCATAGGTTAGGCGCATTTAGCGGGCAATAATATTTAGACGAACAACTGACAGCACCAGGGACTTATTTAGACGTGAGGAGGCTTTGCTTACTTCAGGTTCTGTCTATCAAGCGCAAATACGTCACTGTAGCTGTCACTCGCTAGCAACTTTGGCTAGTTCAAAATATGACGTTGCCCGGTGTCCCTGACAGATAGCGCTGCTGAAAATTTATGGAAATTGCGGATGCACTGCACGATGTTTATCGCTCTCCGTTTCGATCGCGAAATCGTCTTTCTGCTTATTGTGTTGACAGTTTCGCAATGATGTTGCAGTCCACCGACCTGTTTCGAGACAGAAGTCGTTCGGAGATAGACGAGATTTTCTTCGTTTGCCCACCTAATTGTGCTGAAGTTTTTTGCTAGTTACAAGGTGCTTCGGAAATGTTAATAGCTACTGTGATGCATTCGGTTTCACACTCCACAGGTAACGCGCACAGTATTGTTAGAGTTTTGATTCACATGCCACGGCTTATCCGTGTTTGATGGGTGATCCATTTTGGAATAGAAATCGTAAAATAATGTATTTCTATTGATAAGTGCACCAGTACGAGTATCATGTACATGTTTAAAAGCATTTTTGTACTGTATGTTTTAATTTATGATGAATTCCGTTACAATGAAATGCACCTAGATTCACGTATTTCCGCGCTCCTACTTTGTTAAGTATTTGAGCATTATACTTTGTTTTTCCTACAACTGAGCCTCACCTTTTTGCGGTTAAACGGATCCGTTTATACGCCCTAACTTAAACAGTAGTAAACTTGAAGATACATAACTATAAACATCTGCAGTTATGAAATTAATAAATAATTCGGCTTATCTTCGTCAAAGAGCTTTTTAGATAATAACATTTCAATTTGTTGAAAACGGGGCAGCCCATTCTTCGTCGGCCAGAGTCGCTAAGAAGAAGCCAATTATCGCCGCTTCATCCGGAATATTCACAAAAAAACTTGATAACACATCTGCGCTGCTAAATTGCATATTTAGTCAACGCCTGCTCTTTCCCTTTATGGCTTATACATCCGGAAATTCTGTGTCGATCTTTTACGGTGATTGAGCTAAATGACCTGACCATTTTTTTTCTACTCGTATCATGGAAGTTAAGGGTATTATCTTACAATAGAGTGATGAAATGAGAAAAGTGACATGGTAGATAAATATCATTTAGGAAATTACGCAGTTGTGTAAAATGTGTTACCTCCAATCAGACAGTGAAGGCACTCGTAGCGAAAAGTTTGTTCTTTGAGCCAGCTTATTCAAAATCATTGACGAAAGCCAAATGAATTAGCAAAAAGTCTCGATTTTGCTCGATTTTTTTGGCTTTAGAAATAAATTATCCGAAAACTTTATATTACAGCAAAAACCTATGAATATATATATATATATATATTCATATATATAATATATATAAGAACCCCGTTCTTTTATTTAACTTTACATAAACTCCAATTGTACTAACAAGATTCTGAGATATACTTTGGCTGTTGTAAGCCAAAACGTACCAATATATTGCAATGAGTAGATACTCATTGCCAGTCTTCGAAAAGTAGTCAGTTTTGTAGTTGACTTATCTAGTGATTACGAGAGACTTGTGCAAGTAAGATGATCAATGATCAGAACACACGTTTTACGCAGACAAAAAATTTACACGGTTCCGAAAGCATTGGTCATTTACAGCCCATAAAAGATTTTCTTACGGAGGTGCATACGAATTAATTGGCACTTGGTCCGTGTCCCTTGTCCTCCTAAAGCTTCCAAAAAGTTCTATGTACGGAACCCAAGTAAAAAGCTTGCTCTCTGCGTTTGAGTCTTTAAACCTGTATTTTTCGGAGCTGACTGTCATCAAAGCCTGGAAGGATATGCACATTGTATCAGAATTTTATGAAAGGAATAATTATATTTATATAGTAACAGTAATAATTGGTCTTTATTGTTCCTCAAAAGCTGTTCTGAGTTCGTTCAGTGTGCTGTCAGCATTGTCGTCGATGCATCTCTTGGCTCCTTCTTCTGCAAATAAATTTTGCGGGATCATTTTTGTTAGCAGAACTAACGCATCTATAGATACAGTCGTGTATATTCATGCTACTTCTATTGCAACCACTCTTTGAGCGTGTACCATATTTCTGTTAGGTTTCTGCTACGGTAGCTAATAGGCCGGATCGAAATCACATTTCACGGTTTTTCCTGTTACATACTCAATATGTGCATTACCCGAAAATTTTGTATTGAAAATAACCCCAAGGTATTTAACTGATATAAATCTCCATTGCATCTTCGGCACCTTTGAACTTCATCCAACGATAATCTCTTTTAGGTATATTACTCACTTTTATCGGGTAACTTTAACCCAGTTTCTTCCAAAACCAAATCATGTAATTTCCAAAACAAAGTTCGCAAGATCCTCAAGGTTCCTTCTGTCTTTGCTTCTACTAGTATATTTAAATCGTCGGCATATCCAAAGCTATCGATTCCTTCTAGTATTTCGGATAGTCAGGACATTTTGCTGTGTTATAAAGAGTAGAACCCAGTACCAGCACTTGGAGCAGCCCTGTTATCAATTTTTCTTTTTCCATTCTATATCTAATTAAAATAGATTAGGATGACATGAGTTCCCTAAGATAGTTTCGATTACAATAGTGTGAGAAATACTCTATATATTTAAGGGCACGTGACAGCGCTTTATTGCTGTCAACCGTATGTTATATTCAACGGTCGCTAGCGTTTCGAACACTTATTACGATCTTACCGGATGTCTTAGGTAAAAAAAATGGCTGCATCTCAAATTTCACTGAAACCTTAAGTCTTGTCAAAAAAAGGTTCGTGATAGCTTAACACAAATCAATCTCGTGTAGGCGTTTTGTTCTCCCCATCGCTCTTTAAGTAATACCAGTAGATGAGCAGAGTGTTAGCTTTGCGACGGGCATTTTTCTAACTACAGGGCGATAATAGAAGGTTTTAAAATAGTTTCAATCTATATTCAAAAAATCCTCATTATTTAACTCATAGTTATTTTCAGTCGTTAATTTAAAATAGATATTAAGGAAAAGTAGAGCTTTTTCCGTACGTACATGCCCTTACGTCTCAATCGAAGCGGTGATTCTAGTACAATTACATGTTTTCGTAAATAATATCTAATGTTACTTTCTTTACAAAATTCAACTTCTAGTGGTAAAACCTAAAGTGTTTCTAGGTTCCGCACGCATGTGTTGTAGCAATAAGTGGAAGTGTAAAACGGTGAAGTACTTCAAGCATTCTTTTTCGAAATTGGAGTAATACAGACACATTATCACCACTTACCCTATAAGTGTCACTTTCTGCATTTATATTTTCATAGGATCGTTGTTCATTAGCCAGATCAGTAGTGTTAATAGGCCGCATTTCGTGGCTTTAGGATGTTGTCACATTTACTTCACAGATAGATATAGTGTGTCTCATCGCTTAATTAATTCGTTCAAACAATTCAGCTACCTTTCTACATGTTTCTTTTTTTTTTTTTTTTTTAATTACAATCATCTCGCCCTGAAAATAGGATGAACTCGTTGTAGTTGCACTTTTCCTGGTACCTGTTCGAAACATAAACAACCTTAATTTCAAGATCTGCAGTTAGATTATCTCATCCATTCGATTTCGCCTTGAGCCTGCAAACAGTGCCAGTGGTTTTTGCCTGATACGACTTATTGGACTAAAAATATCGGCAATCTTGATCAGAGTTTCGCATTAGGTGCTTGAGTAATTTCGCTTGAGTACTTCCGAAGTTTTTACTTCCTTTTTCTTCTTGCTCTCTGCAATAGGTCTGCTTCACTGTCTTACAATTATGTGACGTCGTTATCAAATAAACAATCACTTTCACAAGAATTCTGATTAAAAGAGATAGCAATTTAGTTCACCATTGTCTGAAGCTTCATATGTTTCGAAACTGTTTAGTCATTATCGAGAGCGTCGTTCAGTTTTACGAGTTAAAATTAGGGTCGGTATAAAGGGAACATCGCCTTCTTTATAGAAATACTGAACCTGACTTACAAATATAAAATCTCCTGTATAGCATTGAATTAGGTCGACTTACACGCATACCAGGCAGAAAAGTGCCTGCACCTCGTAGACAAACAGCTATATATAGACACTGATTTTTGTTAACTTACGAAACGTTGCACTGGTATTCATAGTGCGGTAGTAGTACAGACATTTTTAGCATACTTTTAACTAGTTCATCCGATCGATCCATCACGAATGAGAAAAATACCTTTTCTACTGAAGCTAGGACTTTATTGACGTTCGCTTCTCACTACTATTACGCTTACTGTCAGCATTTCCCAAGGATTTTATTGCAAAGCGTAGAATTTGTGCTTTGAGATGATCAACGCAAAACAAAACTTGAACAGATATTTTTTAAACAACAAAAATAGTTTTCCTAATAAATCAGCATCATGTGAATTGAATTCTGTGAAATGTGTTAACAGTTAGCCTAATATTTTATTGTGAAATCTTATTGTGTACACCTTATTGAATTGCTCAATATTCAAACGTTCCATATCTCAAGAGTATTAACCTCCGAATACTAAGGCTCATGATCCTACGACCATAAACTCACCTGAAAATTTTTTTTGCAAGTTTCATCCCCTTAGAGTCCATTAATTTTAGGAATCAAACCTGTGCATCTTCATAGTTCACTAAAGTATCTGATATTCCTAAAATTACGTTAATCGATTCTGTTTTTGTGCTTAAATATTCGCAGGTATCAATAGGTTCCTTCGAAACAACCTCGCCTGGCGTTTACGAAGGGTGTTTTGAACGACGATTACTCCTTTGTAGAAAGATAATATTAATAATTTCGTCGCTTTGAAAAATGAGTAACGTCTCGCATCTATGGTATTACGTACACTACACCACACAATCGTTACTGTATACAGGGAAATTAATAATAAATAGTCATGTCAATTCACAAAATTAACTAATCTCTTGTGCAACAACAGTGGAATTATGTAATGGGAAATATTATGGCTACACAACAACCAGCCATAAAAAATTGGGTGTACCTGTAACATTTACTAATGGACACTCACAAAAGACCAGGCAAGGAAGGTTTGAGAGATATTTTTTTATTTCGCCTATGTCTTAAGCTCGTTTTTCTTTAATAATAGTTTTTTTTACTTATGAAATGAGAAAATATAAGACAAAAACAGGTTTTCTGAATACGCGGGTTTGAAATAGGACAAACAAACATCGTTAAGCTTTTAAGATTCAGAAAGCGTCCGAGATAAATAAAAGAGGCGTAGATCGTGCGTGTCATTGTAATCAGGAATCTAATGGTTGCAGAGGAACGCTTCTTGCGGCACACAAACGAACTTGTGCGATCTTTTTAAAACTTGCCATTTATAATTTTAGTAACAGTGGCCGTACAACATGAATGAAGAAGAATTCCCTTGCAACTGAGAAAATGACCAGGAGCAGCTGTATTTTAACTCTGTATGTAGGATAACACAACTCCAAATGGATCGCTTTCTGCTAAATGTAATTTTGGGATTACTATAATATACCTTCATACTATAATTGACTTCAGGTAAAATCGTCCCAGTCAACCCATGTGTAGTCTCTAGATCAGTAGCGTTCTTTTTCTATAATTCTGATAATAATTCGTCAATTCGCAAGCACGCTTCTTTTAACCTTTATGGACCGACGTTGATGGCCGCCTAGAGCAGATGTCATTGTTAAGGTTCTCTTCACCATTAGAGAACATAGATGTTAAGTCAATTCAACATGCATGCTACGTTTATGCATATGACGCCACTAAAACAATGTAAAATTAAATAAATCAGTCTGATTGGACAAGAAAGGGTACTATATGCCAAATATGATAAATAAATTACCCCATTATCAAATCTATATTAAGCGGAGTGAAGTATGAGACAAAATTCGCACAAGAGTATTCAAATTATATACAATACGGCACAACACTCCGCTATAAATGGATCTTGCGGCTGTAACCTGTAATTTATTCTTTTTTGCCAAAACAGATTTACCTACATTTGTTTAGTTTTTTAATAAATCCATTTTCTTTGGCCGCGACGTCAGAGAATAACCTTGTTGGAGGCATCAACCTCGAACCATCGCGCTCACCTTTCGTGAAATTACGTCGAATAGCCAAATGTTTTACTAGACTAAGATACCCCAGCGGCCCCGTGAATATTGAAATTGACGAGATTCGGGCCCCGCCTGCCATCCCAACGTTTGCGGTTATTGCGAACGAAAATGGATTATTTATTTCTTTTCTCTTCACTTGATTTCAGGCGAAAGGTCGGCTATGCCGGCCTTGGTCGGGCTTTCTCTGGCAAACCTGCATGACGATCTATATCAATTCACGATTTCGCAAAATCAAATTCGCGATCGCCAGAATACTTGCATCAACGGCAAGCAAATTTACAGATCAACCAGCCAGGCCACCCTATGGTCCAAGATACAGCAAGCGAAATGTTATCTTAGGCTGAACGCATTCCCCAAAGTTAATGGCTTCCTAAATGAATAAATAATGAATTAGGGTCGATTTAAATAAGTTATATTGTGTGGAAATAAGATTTTCGAATGCTGCCTTGCCGTCAACCAAGGCACACGAGCAGGAAACGTTTAGCATTTTTTGAATATTCCAAGTTTAAACGCTCCTTTCAAATACAAAAATTGAAACAAGATGATTCTAAAATGCCTCAATTATGTATATATATATATATATATATACGTTCGGATTATATTTTTGTTGCAGAAGTAGCAAGTTCATTTATTACACATTATCCTCTCTTTTAGAATATAAATTTTCACAACAAGTATCTTATGAAGCCGTTGAAACTCGTTTCAAAAACTTTGCGAACGCACTAAAAGTGGTTGAAATAAAAAAAAGGCAGGGGAGTGCTTTATTTGTTCGGATTCTTTTACTACAATGTTACCCAAATGTAGACATGTAATATATAATTCCTACAAAAAATCTATCTTTAAGTTCCATGGATAAAAAGTTTACGGTTATTTTGTTAGAAAATGCATTTGTACCACATATGATATCTCCCGCGCTGTTGCACTAGGTCAATGTTGAATGCGTATTATTAAGTATATTATATACTTTACTATATTCTATATAATTTTCATGACAACATTATTAAAGCTGCACTGACGGACTGTCTTTGAATGTAGTTACTGTAAATTCTCGCATGGTATAATATAAATTTCGCTATAAGTATGTATAAAAAACACGTCCTCTATACAAAACGACGATAATGAAATTAAATAGAAAGAAAAGGCCTAAAAATTCGAAAACTCATTAAAAAAGAAAAAATAATCTGATTTTAATGACATCTGCTCCGCTTCGGAATGATAAAATATTCGCTTCGGAATAAAAAAGAAGGTGCTCTACAATTGATAGGGAATGATTCAAGGAAGTGTTTTTCGACAAGAAGGATCATTAACGGATTCAGAAGTTAAGAAAGTTCTGAAAGTTTCGGATTGTATCTAAAATAGATAGATTGTTTGCAAAATAACCAGTAGCTCGGATTTGCGAAACTTCAATAAGCATATGTTGATTAACATTATTTATCACCATTATCGAAAATTAATTTACAAATTAGGAAATACTATGAGCTTTGGACAGGAATAAAATAAATTATTAAAGAGAGCGATAGCTACATTGATAAAAACAAAGGACCAAGGGTACTCTTAACGAGATATCTAGAAAAATATCTTCTCCTCTACTAAATTTTCGATCATAATTGAAGCAGCAAAGGTGGGCTACACTTGATAAGTATTCGGATGATTAAATGATTAAATAACATTACCCATACTGTTCTAGTGTTCGCTTTGTTTCCTTGCTAGGGCTACTGCGAACAGATTCTACCTATCGCTTAGATTGTTGTTACTGATGAATGGCATTTCCTATCTGCTGGCCGCGCGCATTAGCGCAACGTTCGTCCGCTGCAGTTGGTTGCATTATTTGAAATTCCGTCCGTTATGAACGGGCTCTTGTTTTTGATGTACATTGTTTTCATAAAAAGGAATCATCTCAACTAACCTCTTTGCTTTTGTTGGACACGCTGAATCAATCAATGTATTGTAATTCAGGTACGGTACCAAAATGACGTAACGTTTATAAATATTTACACCTTTTAGAAGCACTACGATCAAAAATCTCAGAAGCCTTTCAAAACAAAAGGTTCAACTAGAGTTTTGTATTTTTCTATGCCAATAATACTTTCGCATTTCATTTTGGTATAAAGTATACAAAAAGGATTACATCTCCGTCACCAGTAGGCTGTCAATGGGTCAGTGAAGCAGTTTTTGGCTTTCAAGGATTTTCAACTAATTATATAACAACTCATTTTAACAAACAGCTCAGTGCTCCTAAAGTTAACAGCTTCTTATAATCTGAACACAATAAAACTAAGCCGATACCTTCATTAAATTTCCTTATGTTGAAGTGAACTGTTATCGACATTAGGTACATATAATGTATGTCACTGTCATTAAAAAGTAAAAAAGAAATAGGTCTTCTTGTTTGTTAATGAACATAGCATTAATCTCGGTCGTCTTTTGTTTATAATTTTTTATCATCGTTTCATGATCGAGCTGCGTAGGTATCTAGTCGAAAATAATTTTTTTTTCAGAAACCATGGCGTGCTTTACCTTTGACCTAATTCTCGTTTTTTTTTTGAAAATAGACACTTAATTTTATGGTGAAAAGATGAACCGTATTCTCTCCCAATCCGCTAACTAATAAATGTTTTGAAAATCTAAAATTTGCAAAATGTTTGTCATCTATAACGTGTCGCAGTAAATGGAGCAAACGTATAGACGTCCAGAAACCTGCTGCGCTGACGGTAGAGGGTAATTTTAAGATGGAATTTTTATTGTGGAATTTGCATTAATGTCTAAAAAAAGGCTGTAGGTAAACGACGTAGGCATAAATAGGCTCAAATCACTTTTTCGTCAATTTTCAAAATACATTCTTGTTTTCGCATAAGGTTTTAGTTTATATTCTTCAATCATTGTCATTAGAGGTTACCGTTTTCACAGCATTACGATTATACTAATAATACACTTGATATCCCACTTAACAACGGGTTTCTAACAACAGGCAATCGAATCCTACTAAATCTTTTTGTTTGGACAAACGTGTTTCGAGAAATTACATGGAGAACGCTTGGTAGTAACTGCTATGATGTGAAGACAAAATCTGCAAAGACTTCAGCACAGACTTAATAAACAAAATGTAATGAGCACTTGAAGCCCAAATATAGTTACACAAACCCTATTGCTGAACCGTTTCGGTACTCGTTTACTCAGAGCAGTGTACCATAATTCGAGTTACACTGCCGAAAAAGTATTTCACAATTTACTTTTTAAATGCAGTAAAAAAATCGCGATTCATGTACAAGGTTTTAAATAGCAGGTGCAGCATGACATAGTATAAGTCTTCACACGAACTGAGGTTAAGCTCTAACACAGCTAAAATATTGCTGCGTTTTTATTATTTTATTTCTGATCTATAAAATGACTAATATTCTTATGCAGTTGTAAAAATCATTCGCGTATATTGTCCGAAGTTTTTACCGATAATAATAATTATAATTAGGTGGTTCAATATGAAATGTGTCTTTTGCATCGGTTACTTTATATGCATATAATCAGTGCATTCTTATTATTAACCACCCTCATACCTAATGAATGTCGTAAGCCTATTCGTGTCGTTCGACGTTTATGATATACACTATATACATTAGGTTGCTACATAAATCCGCATTGTTTTTCAGGGATGTTTCATACACTTCAACCATACGCACAAGGGCACTTAATGAATAATTGTCCTATTCACAATTTCTGTTTACCTTTTATGGGTGCTTTGGCAACGCGTCCTCTTAAAAAAACGGCATTCGTGTTCTTCATGTATTGGTGCATATATATTAGCAAACGATATTTTTGAGTTATGCTTCAAGAAGATAAAATGTCAAAAATAACCAATTCAGTGTGAACACAACTCCTAATGTTAACAAATGGTATGATTTAAGCTGATCTAGGTCGGACGACTGGTTTAGATTCGACATTTCGACCGCACCTAAAAAATCAGAAAACTTCAAATAGCTGATAAACAAACACTCTTAACACAAAATGAAGTACCAGACCGACAGAACCAAATACCTACTTCTAGTGCCTTTTTCCTTTCTGAATATATTTGCTACAGATAGTGGTAAAATCTTTTATAATTTTACGGACAATTGTACAAAAAATGTATTTAATGCTTCAGCCTTACGTAGCCTATACGAATGAGACTCTAACAAAAAGAGCTGAACAAAGCATTGCTTTCTCACTTCTACCACGTATACAATACCATTGACCCTCATATGAGCTCCATTCTAAAATGTAGTTAACTCTGATGACACATTCGTAGCGTGAAGTAAAAAAGGGTAACTGTTTTGATTGAAACTAAACTTTTTTGCTTAAAAACTTCACCGACAAACGGTGAAGATAATGACGGGGTCGTACTGAAATGTTTTCAAAGGACAGTTTTATATCCTACGAGTTAATCCGTAAAGAATTCGACTCCGTCGAAATTTGAAACACGTAATGAAGTCTACTGTTATCGAGTAAAACTAGAGAACACACAGTATCATAATAAAAAGAAAGATAGATTTACCTATGTTTATCTAAAATTTTTACGCATTATTACTATATTTGAAAAGCGTGGAAGCTGTGGTATAATTGTTACCGGTGTAGCCGTCTCTGAAACTGCTCAATCATAGGCTAGGCAAACAGATTCTTTAGTTAGCCTTTTTAGCCAGTCAAGTGTCAGTCCACTATGGCATACATACGCATCACTGCTCGCACATTGGCTACGTTAAAGGACATGACTTGCACACTCGAGGAAAAAATATAATGTGCAACTCATTACGTTATGCGCAATAAGACAAAACTTTTAATTTAAACTAATATGAAGAATCAAAAACCAAATCAAAAAAATCAAGCTTTTCCAAATTCGCCCGAATGCAGGTGAGCTGAGAGAGTCTTGTAGGCAAGACTAATGTAAGTAACCTTTGTACGTATACATAGTATGCCTTTATTATTGAGCAACGCTTTTCGCACATAACTCCTCATTTTAATGAACAATGTAATATTTGTTGCCGGTGGGGACCGAAATACATCGAATGATGGTAACGGCCGTTGAGTCTTTTTTGAATTTAGTAAATCACTAAATACGTACGTAACCGAGTAAGCTTAATCTTTAGGATATCTCCGAAAACTGTGTCACGTCAATATTAAAAAAAAAAACAGCTCGCATCGTATTGATAATTAACTTCATCATTAAGTATTAAATAAATTGTAATCACCTTTAATCGTAAGGCCAGCATACAAGAGCAACAGCGTTCCATACAAACATATTTTTGTGAATAATTTTATATAGATGCAAAGCGAGGTTTTTTGAGTGTAGTAAAGATACTAAATCTTCCAGCGAAATTACATCAGGACATCGATATACCTTGCATATGTGGCAGTTTTCGCTGCGTTTTGTAGATATCGAAGGCAAGATTCTTTCATATGATATATTATACTGAGGCAGCCACTGGATCTATTTTCAGGTCGAACTCTCGGAGGGCAATAATGACCGAAAACACGATAATTTCTAATGACAGATATCGCTACCACCGCCATTCTGCACTTTTGACACAAAACAGATAGTTTTTACTGTTAAACGAAAAAAGAAGCTTCGGCTACGCCGTGTAAAGAAGTCGTAAAACAATTTGCTTACATGACGAAAGGCAATCCGCACGTCTGAAAAGCCTCTTCCTCCCCCCCTCCCCCCCGCAAACTTGATTGCCATCGTTTCTACCGGATTTACAGTTAAGCCAAGCTCTATTGAGACCGTTTGCAGTTTACC